ATTTAAAAACTAAACAACACTATTAGCTAAAGAGAGATATGAAATTTCTCGAGCGTAAATTGAACATCCACTCCAGTCTCCAGCTATGTACAGTTACCGCAGCGCCAGATGGTCGTATAACACAGATTGAACATTTATAATTAATATGATTGTTGACACTAAAAAACAATCATACAGCCTTTATGAGATAAACAAGTCAATTACAGCTTGATAACTCCACGCGTACCTGAGAAAAAGGGCGTTGACAGACAGACACACAGACAGGCGGACGGACAACAAAGTGATCCTATAAGGGTTCCTTCATTGGGAATTATAATTTATTGAAAGAAAATTATAATTTCATGCACAGAATTCGATGCCCAAAATTTTATCTCCGACTGCATAATACTTTATTCCTTCTTGAACTTGTTTTCATCTTTTTAGTTAGCTTTTACGAAGTCGGGTGTTTTTTTTTTAGTTTTATAGTACATATTTTTTTATTTATAGCTTTTTAGTTTTTGCCAATTAGATGTCTGAAGTTATATTTAGCTCTCCTTCGCTTCGCGCAGTCGGCTAAAAAATAGCTTAAGCCATACGATGCCGCAGGGTTTTTTATCTCACTTCCAATAGTCCCCAGAAGTAGTATACTAATAAAAATCCCTTGTGTGAAATAATAGTTTAAGAGATAAACTATGGTTATAAATACATCTATACATATAATAAAATTGTAACTAAGCCGAATCTGTACATTAAATATATTTTACAAAATCCTATTGAAATAGTTATTATTATCGATACAGAGGCCGAATCTATAGTTTTTAGAATTTTTGTCTGTCTGTCTGTCTGTCTGTCTGTTACCGCATCACGGAAAAACCACTGGAGGGATTTTGATGAAATTTGGTATGGTGATAGCTGTTTATCCAGGGCAACATATAGGATATTTTTTACCGCGGGAAAATGTCTCATTTCTGAGGAAAAATACAAAAACTGCAACGTAAGAGTATACTAATATGTAAAACCTAAGAGTTTGGTTTTTGGTCATCTGAACGCGGGCGGAGCCACGGGCTATGCTAGTACCTAATATGTACATATGTCTTTACTTCTGGAATACATTATATATAAGAATAAAGAAGTTAGCATTTGGCAATTTGCCTCTATGCTTACCTCATCGAAGATGCACTTACTCGTAAGTTATAGCTGGCTTTTATATTATGCCTAAGCTTTCTACATAAATTTAACTTTATTTTGTTTATAGAAGCGCATAGGTGTGCCAAGTATTAAATCAATCGAGTAACGTTTTCTTACCACCAGTACCAGTAAATGACATATAATAACTACACATACTTTGTTTTTACTATTGGACAGATATCTATACATATAATAAAACTATAGAGGTCGAATGTCTGTGCATAGAAAAAAAATGCTAAATACCGAGTTAGGGGGATGTAAGAAAAGTAATAGAACAAATCTAGATTTTTTCATTTTTTTGTTTCTCTGTCTGTTTGTATGGACTAATCTTCGAAACTGTCGGACCGATTTAAATGAGATATTGCATGGTAGTACCTTATATCCCCGGTTAACATTTTAGAAACTTTTCATCCCGTAAAATTAAAAAGTTCTCGTGGGATAGTTAAAAAATATAGTAACTTACACAGCTTTGTACACAACAACTTATGCACCTAATTTAATAAAATTTATATTGCCTGTCAAACAACAGCATACTTTTTATCCCGAAAAATGCGCGGTTCCCGTGGGATAGATCTGTTTGAGCTTTTCTTGAGGCGCATCCGAGCGAAGCGAGAATTAGCCGTTAGTTAATACATATATATTTACATTGGAAGATTCATCTAAAACCTATTTTTTCTTTAAAGAGATTTTTTTCATGATTTATAATAAATGAAACTCCTTTTAAAATGTCACCTTGAAGATAACAAAACATCAAGTTACAAGACAAACATTTATAAGAGCTTCCATTAGTACCCATTATTTTCTATTCGCGTTTTCCTATGGCTCTGCACGAGTAGTTCTATTATGTATATAGTACCTTTTTGAAGTATAGTATTATATATAATACCTTTGAAAATTATAGCTTATGTTTACTCTGGCATATAAGCTACATATATTACTGTATGAAAATCTGTATAATAGTTTTAGCGTAAAAGAGTAAAAAGCATCTATCCATCCATCGTCATTGGGAAAAAAATAATATTTTCTATTTTATTTGTAAGAATTATAAAATTTTAATGTTTAATCTAGAGTTTTATTCAGAGACTAGTGACACCCTCGCTCCTCCTCGTTTTATCGGTTAGTATAGATTTCTCGGAGATGGGATATTTTCGAACAGTAAAAAGTATCCTACATGTTGACACAGATATCATTATACCAAATTTCATCAAAATCTACCTAGTGGTATTCATGCGATGCGTTCCCCAGACAGATAGACAGACATACAGACAGACAAAAGATTCGGCCTCTGTAGAGACAATGTCTGTTACAATAAGATTTTCCAAAAAATATTTAATATACAGATTCGACTCAGAATTTTATTATAATATGTATAGATTTCTCGCATAAGTAATTCATTATTGAACTTATGACGCATCATCAAACTCATGGTTAAATTACATAATAATGGGTTTGATGATGCGTCGTAAGTTTAATGATGAAGAGCTCGCATGAGAAATCTCTTAATGTAACTCTAGATTAAATATTAGTTATCGAAATCCATATTTTTTTATTATCTTTTCAATTCAATTCAATTTTGTTTCTTAATAGCCTTTAAATTAAACTTTATGTCAATAAAACTAAACATTATTTCAAATTACTAATAGATTCAATAACTTTTACAGCAAAATTTCGTGATTTTAAGCATTTAACTGAAATAAAAATTCAAACAAAATTATACTATCGACAGGCATTGAGTTCTATGAAATCAATGGTTAAACACGCATTGCTTACATTTCAATATGAAGTGAATGCTTATTGTAGTTTATAATATTTCTTGATAAAAATAATATTATGAATTTTGCCCTTACAATATATTTTTTCTATTTCTATTACCTACTTTAAAGTGTAGATCGATGTGTCTTTATTTAGCAATAATTCTATATGCAATATCAAAATTGAGGACGTAGGTTTGATTCCTGCAAGTGGTCACAACCCAGTAAACGTTAAAATTAGTTCAAATGAATATATTTAAAAACATAAATACAAATTTAAGCATATTTTTATTTTTATTTGTATTCACCCTTTTTAACGTCCCACTGCTGGGCACATGCCTCCCTTCAATACGAGGGGGATCAGGCCATAGTTCACCACGATAGCCAAGTGCGGATTGGTGAACTTCATGTCTTTCGAAAAATTGCTAGGTTTTCTCAGACATGCCGGTTTCCTCACGACATTTTCTTTCACCGTAAGGCAAGTGGTAATCATATTAGAAATGATTAGCACATGAAAATATTAGAGGTGCGAGATCCGGGATTTGAACCCTCTTCACTTAGTTTCCCAAGCGAGCGCGTTACCACTTATCTACCACTACCTGCGTATTTATTTATATATTATTATAAAATATTCCTACCACATAAACAATAGTACCTATACGTTGAAACAAATAATAGCTTTCAGTACATACGATACATCAAAAATGCCAATAAAAACAGTGTTTATGACCGTTTATATACTTAGGAAATAAATCGAAGTGGGGGAGTTTTAATGGAAAATTGTGGTGTTAGTAAAAACATCATATCACTGCGCTATAAGCTCTTATTATGAACAAACCGGTGGTAAAGTAGTAAAAATGTAATGTGTAAGTGCTTAAAGCTCGTCGCGTGCTTGAATCATTTTTTATTCAATACCAGTAAGTTAAAATTGCATTTCTACAGAGTTAAATCTATACATGTAATAAAATTGTAACTAAGCCGAATCTGTACGTTAAATATTTTTTGGAAAATCTTATTGAAATAAACATTATTATCGATACAGACCGAATCTATAGTTTTTAGAATTTTTGTCTGTCTGTCTGTTACCACATCACATGAAAAACCACTAGAGGGATTTTGATAATATTTGGTATGGTGATAGCTGGTTATCCGGGTCAACATATAGGATACTTTTTACCGCAGGAAAATGTCTCACCTTTGAGCTAAACGTTAAAACGTTTATTATAATTCTCAAAATGGATTAGATAATTTGAAATTATTAATGTCAAACTGTACTCCGATTTATTGTCTTCAATATAGCAGAAGCAAGACATAAAAATATAACAAAAACATAGTAATAAAAATATATTCATCAATATTTATGTATAATTTCTTTAAAATGATGACTTTTTCCTTTCAATAAGATTCAAAGTTTAAATCTCTCGCTTTTGTTTAAGGAACAATGAAATTCAGTCATTTATAATGCAGAAGGAAAATATTTTCAAGAACACGAAACGAAAACGTGATGTAAGAACAATAAACGTATTTGAAATATTTTTAGTGTTTTAAAATATTCCAGCTTGTAGATTATTTCTTTGTTAGTTTTTCATTGATTTAACTTTTTCATAGATGCTGATTGCTTAACTAAGCTTTACTTACTCAAACGTCTGCAAAATGTATGCATAAATTTTGTTTTTGGTTTGCTTAAATATGATCACTTCTCTTCTTACCGTATTCCTATTAAACAACAGCGACTTTCAAGATATCTTCCATTTTTTCTATCTCTATAATCTTACTTACTCTGTAATCTAATAACTTCGGTCGTCTTATGTCTTACTTAACGAAATGATTTTTAATTTTGCAATATTCGAACAATAGCAACGTGAGGTAATTTTTGAGATGTAAAACTGGGTATCTACTATGTTTTTCACTTATTATAAGTTCCTATATATCAACACTGTTGCAACTGGTATATTGGGTGCTGATCTATTACCCGCGATCACGTCAAATATCCTGTTTCACATCACAAATATATTGCCAATGATCATGATGTCTATTTATGTAGTGACGTTCAAATTTCGGTTTCAGGATTTTTTGGCAACCATGACAGATTTGTTTTCGATCGCCCGTTGGTTTGGCATACCAACATATGGAGGGAGACTTGCTTTCATATGGGCTTTAATCTTGTTAGCCATGCTGATTGCTATAGAAGTTGGTGCTATTTGGAAACTTGGCCGACTTCTGGCAGGCTACGTTGTAAATACTTCTGGGGGACGTACGTTATAATAATAATAATTACAAGTAAATCACATTTAAAATTAAAATAATTTTGCGAAAATTTACTTCATCTTAGAACAACTCCAATTATTTAAACTTCAAAGTTATATATGTATTTAGGATAGCACTTATATGCTAAACGTGATCTCAATTTTAAGTCAGAGAAACGTCGAACGCAAATGAATAATAAGTCGAAAAATCGATTTATTAACTCCACGTTTACTTAGCGATAGCTATTTTATATGTAGCTATGTAGTTAGAATTTAATAATCTATAACCTAAAATTAAACATTGCTATTAGATTTTTAATGAAAAAATAAAAAAAAATTTATCTGAAACAAACAGACAAAAATTAAAAAAAAAAATATTTTTGTTATACTTACATAAGCACTGTATATACCTCTAAATGTATTTACTGAAAAGCTGTTATTTTGTCATAACAAACAGACACTTAAATTTCATTTATTTATATAGATAAAACAATAACAGAAATAAAAAAATAGAATTAACGCAAGATTGTTTCTTAAAGGTAACCTAACAGCACGCCTATCTGGTTCAGTTTTCTATGGAAATGCATTACTGTCACTTCTACTGTCATGGAGGACTGTTAAAACTTGGCAAAGTCTTTCAGTACATTGGTTACAAATAGAAACAAATGGTCTATACTTTTCGCCTGATGTAACTATTCGAAAAAGAATCATCGCTGTGTCAATTTTTGTGGCGATATGCGCAATTGGTATGTAAGTAAATATATTTTACAGTTAAAACTTAAAGAAAATCATCACAAATCTTGTATTTAACATCACGAACAATAAACAAGATTTCATCCAAACTTATGAAAAACAATAATGTGTAATAACAAAAATGTCTATCAACAATTGATTTTTTTAAAGTTCTTTCGATAATGTAAGCTACATTGAATACAATATATACAATGAATGGATTTATCGGGTCTCGAACCCGCGACCGCTGGCACAGCAAGTAGGGTAACTACAAACTGAGTCAAACGTGTCGTCAGATCTATAATACATTTTTTTTACCTAGTACAGATACCAGTCTCTCATAACGACTTCTATTACTGTTATGTTATGTTAAATAGTGATGATAAAATAAATAAAGTTATTATTATCTCTTTGGAATTCATGGGCAGGAGCCCGGTCCTTTGGAAGGCTTGCGTGGGGACACAGGTCCAACGCGTAGAGGCTGCTTAAGAGATTCAAGTTTGTTTAATGTAACGCATCAGCCGAGATCTATCACTGAGTAACCCATAGGGAATTGCCCAAAGATGGTATCCGGCTGATGCGTAGGGACTATATAAAACTAAATATGGGTATGGAATGGAGTTTGGGTGGACTAAAAACGGGCTATTGGATGAGACTACCGGAAGTCCGCCTGCTCAACAGTCTCACATTGAATATTTGGCGGACGGTGACTCACCTCTCACTAGTGGGCCCCTACGAAGCGGCATATTATTATTATTAACAGTAATTTTGTTTCAGTGGAACACATGCTTAGTATGATGTCTGCTACAGGTTTCGATTGTCGACCAGGAGAATATCTTCAAAGATATATATTATCATCACATGGGTTCTTGGTGCAATCCTGTTAGTTTAATTTTTTGGATTAAAAATTTATAGCGATAATATTCAGAAAGAAAATTTTTTTTACCATTATACAAATGGGGTACATTTTCTCTTGATTTATATGGAACTAGCCGTCACCCGCTTTGCTGGGCGTACGTATGTAAATGTTTTTTTTGGTTTTCAAAGACCTTAATGTGTATCTAGGTTTTACGCTTATAAATGAAATAAAAAAACAAATGAATAAAAAAATGATAATACCTACACAAAAAAAACATACAGATAAAATCTCTATCTTCATCTTTCTAATTTCGGTCCAAAACAGCAATCAAGTATGTTTAAACGTTCTACAATCAAAAATAACTGTCAAAATTTTAATGGCGTTATATTTTTTTAGTATTTTATTTTAATCTGCAATAAAACATTTTTTACTTTAGCCACCATTTTTTATTCAGTTTCATGATTCTAACTACAATCGTTATCCATTTTGCAGATGAGTACACCCTTTGGCTAGCCATACCAATATTTATTCTCAGCAAGTCAGCAACTATTCTATGGAACTTTCAAGATTTGATCATCATTTTGATAAGCATGGGATTAGCGTCGCGATACCACAGACTGAATTCATACGTGAAATATGTTGTTAGATATGAGATACGTGCAAGGAATGTGAAGAAGGTGTGTTTCGGACCTTAGTTGTATATGTACATGTATTCATAATGAAATATTTTAAGCCCCGATGAAAGACGTGTGTTTTTTTAACGCTAAGATCTACACGTATGTGTCACACGACAACACTTTTGGCTCAGTTTGTAGTGACCCTACTTGCTGTGCCAGCGGTCGCGGATTCTAGTCCCGCTGGGGGCATTCATTTGAATGTTTGTGCTCCAGTCATGGCTGTTTATATTTATATTTATAATATGTATGTATTTAAAGTTATATATGTGTAGTGTATCAACTATCTGGTATCCATAACACAAGCCTCGTAGCTTACCATGGAACTAGATGGCGCTGTGTGTTAATGTCCCAACATATTTATTTATATTTATTTATTTAAACGTATGTACGTTTATATCAATAGAAATGGAGCTCCTAATGAAATAGACATATTTTATAGTGCAATTTGAGGAGTTTATCCTCTTACTTGGCTAATGTTACATATTCGAAGGTATATTAATATTATAGTTATCAATCTTATGTGAAATAATTATATTTGGCATTTAGGTTGCCTTAATACTAAGTTTTTAATACATTGTTTTACTTATATGAGTACGATTGTTTATTCATACTGACTGATGACGAAATGGGGTAAACAGCTAATAATATATTATATTTCAGCTAATAATATATTATATTTCTTACGATAAGAAAACTATTTATATATCAGTGTATACGTAGATATCATAAGGCTACTGTTCCACTTTTACCTAAAAATAATAAAAGACATGACCGCTGTCCGCTTCCACGAACAAGAAGTGTCTTCGCCCAAAGGCACTATGATACTATTGCTCCATTTATCTATAATAAATTCAATGACCTTTATACTGTGAAAAATCTAAGCAACTATAGAATAAAAGAAATTTTAAAAGAATGGCTAATTAATCTAACGTATGAAAAACTGAAAACCTTGTGCTAGTATAAAAAAAAATGAATAAATAAAATAAATGCTAATATATACAAATTGTAATAGTAACATAACACACACAAGTATACAACCAAACCCACTCACACAAACGCACACACACACACACACACGCACACATACACGCACACACACACACACACTCATATACACACTTTTTTTTCTCTCTGTGTCTTGTAAGTTAGAAGTAATTTATTTAATTTTTAATATTTTTTTTTCTTTTTCCTTTTTTGTTTACATTAACTTACCTTATTATAACGTAATTTCATGCAATGAATATGTACGCCTGATATGGGAAGGTACTAGCTCCTGAAACACAGTTTTCTAGTTCAGGAGTTAGGGCTGTGTGTATTTGTTACCATTGTGTTGTTTAATAAAGAATGTTTTTTTTTTATTGATTACACGAAAAAAAATACACTTAATATATATTTTATACTTATTTTTTTTTATTTTTTTTGCAGGTCAAAACAGAATTCTATTTCCACATGAATATTTGGCGCAAAATTCGACAAGCGTACGTACAACAATCGGCTTTGGTACGAAAAGTCGACGGAAAATTGGGTCCTTTAGTGCTATTATCCAATTTAAACAACTTGTATTTTATTTGCTTACAACTCTTTTTGGGTATACGGTAAGTATATATGTAGTAATTTATAGCTTACAGGATTTCATTGTTATATGACCGTTGAAGCAATATAGAAGAATTATTATTTTATTATATATCTAACTATACTTATTATATGTAACTTGCGGACCCGATAGACGTTGTCCTGTCAGAAAAATAATAGGAAAATCTTAGAACACGACTGCGGCACGACCTACCGGATCCTGTTGTGTGTGGTCCACAAAAAAACATCAAAATCGGTTTAACCGTTTAGGAGGAGTTCTGGTTGTATTGGTGTATGGATGTTTGTTACTCTTTCACGCAAAAACTACTGCATGGATTATAAAGAAACTTTACAATAATTATAATTCATACATCAGAATTGCACATAGGCTAGTTTTTATCCCGAAAAAATATACGGTGCTCATGGGATAGTTTTATTTTTGTTTCTCAAGAGGCGAATTTTCCTTCCGACGCCCACATATAGATGTCTTGCAAAGTATTATTTTTTATTGAATTTATTTCATGGATAGATATTCAATTTCGCACCTACATGGGTTTTATCTGTAACCCTACTAGCATCGATAAACTTTCGAACAGTATATATAGTTTTCTATTAGCGATTAAATAATTTTGTTATATAAATTCTAAGATTTACAAACATAAAATTTTCTCATTTAAGAATAAAATTTGTAAAACCCACCTTAACATATTGCCACTTCACTAGTCACCTAAAGATATAAAACCTTTTTCAGACAATTAGATGGTTCGACAATAAATGTTATATACTACTTTTATTCACTCGGCTGGTTGCTTTTTCGAGCGTGCAGTGTTGTGCTTGCTGCGGCTGACGTTAATCTACACTCGAAACGAGCCTTGCCGTATTTGTTCTCTTGTCCTAACACTGAGAGTAATGTAGAGGTAAATGCTTTAGCATTTAGTTATATTTATTCATAAAAAACATTTAGTAAATAAACATTACGATGGAGCAAAAAAATAGTTTTTTTCTTAGCTTTTGGTAGAATTTGTAGGTTATAAAAAAATTTTACTCAATTCATTTTGATGCGGCCTACTGATTTTTAAAATAATTTAAATTTTTGGTTTGTATAGTATTTTTTTTTCAACTGATCATCTTTGAAAATATTTAAGAATTGTTTAATAAAGTCAAATGAAAAAATAATATGTTACTTTTTTTAATTACAGTAAAAGTTGAGTAGAAAATGACTATATTCGTAAATTTTTGAATATTTTCAAAGATGATCAATCGAGAAAAATACCTTTCAAACCAAAAATTTTAATTAATTACTTAATTTTAAAATCACTGGGCCACCTGAAAATGTCGAGTACCTAAAAATTTTTTTTACATTTTTGTTTTTTTATGTTACAAATTCCTAAAGCTAAAAAATTTTTTTTCGCTCCACCCTAATATGTAAAACAAAAACAACTTAACGATAATAAGTACATTTGTGTAAAACTGTGTCGCAGTTATTAATCCTTCCACGACCGCGGACACGCCGGCGTTACAGTTAACAATAGATTTCTTAGAAATTTACCTGGAGGTGTTAACGTCCTCCTCACAAGCGTTGTCTATGAAAATAAAGTCAATCCTACACATACATATTAAACATAGAAACAAAATCAAATATCCAATTAAACAAACAAAAAACTATTTGTAATTTGAACTATTATCACACTAGTATTTTAAATGTGAAAGTTATTATATTATATATTATATGTGTATGAGTGTTTGTAGGTTTATTTCTCGTTCACAATAAGATGGCTGGATCAATTTGGAACATAGTTTGTATAGAAATAGACTATGATCTGGAGTAACACGTAAGATGTTGTTAGTCCATACTAATATATTTAAAATGCAAAAGTAACTCTGTCTGCCTGCCTGTTACCTTTCCACGCTTAATCCGCTGAATCGATTTAGACAAAATTTGGTATGGAGATAGTTTGAGACCCTGGAAAGGACATCAAATAGTTTTTACCTCGGAAATTATCCCTTAAGAGAGTGAAAAGAGGGGTGGAACTTTGTATGGGGATCAATAATTTCTCAAGTACGGGATATAAAACTCATCATACCTATGTGTGTGTAAATATTATATACACATAGATAGACTATTGTCTATGTATTCCATACTAACCGTCACAAAGTACCTAGTGATATACTTATAATTCGCCAAATGGTAGCAATGCTTGTGAATATTATAATTATAAAATACACCTAAAGAGCAAATGAACAAAACAAGGCTTAGTCTTAATATGTTTATTATTGCTATATATAATAGAAATTTCGTGATATCTGTAGGTATGTACATATATTTCATTATTATTAGAGCAGTAGATCAATCTGTACTTTTTAATATCGATTGAAACATATGTATGGTATAGTTTTAATTCTAAGTATCACATATACAATAATAGATTTCCATTAAAAACCGTCCAGCTGCTTGATTGATCCACATTCCAATAGTTAGACATACGTGTAATTTTAAAAATTGTTTATTAGGGCTCTATTTGAAATATTTAAGAGAAATCAATGTTTTCTAAAATATTCGATATACCTACAATTTTATACCATATATTCGTAGTTATTTACTTTCATAATATTTCTTTACTATTATACAAGCTCTGAAATTGCAATTTTAGTAAGATAGCTTGAGTGAGGTTTTTATTGTCAACTCGCCTCTAGGTAAACAAAAACAAACCTATCCCACGGGAACCGTACATTTTTCCGGGATAAAGAGTAGCCTATGTTATTCCACACTATAATCTATCTTTGTGCCTCATCTAGATCCGTTCTGCCTTTCTGGCGTGAAAGAGTAACAAACATCGATACTCACAAACTTTCACATTTATTGTATTTATACAGATATTAAAACAAACAATATTAAACATATTGTTGTTTTTCAGATAAAAAGGCTTAAAAATCAATTAAGCCACGATAAAGTGGTTTTAAGTGGAATGGGCTTTTTCTGTTTGGATCGACAGAAGCTTTTAGAGGTTCGTTAAGCATTTATATAAGAATGTACATATATATTCTAATTCTTTTTTAAGCTTAAAACGCTCTTCCCACTTAAAAATCATGTATAAATTTCACAGTACAAGGGGTTTTACGAGGTAACTGTTAAATAAACATTCAAAGATAAAATGTTTATTGAAGCCAACCTTGTTGAATCAAATCGCTGAATATCCAAAAAATTTAATGCAAATGCACAATTTGCTGGACAATTGGCTAGATCCTCTTAGAAGGCTTCTATAAGATTTGTATTCAGCTTTTGTATGATGTATATGAAAGTATTATCTCGTTTCGACGTACAGGATACGTAGCATATATATTATATTATAATACATCTTCATTTTGGTTCTTCCCCGATACAATATTACATGCATTCGTTCAATTAATATATCATGCTCCCAAAGTTAAAAATTTTATTTAAAAAATCTGCATGCTTTGGTATAAAATAAACGTTTATCTTTTGCAGGTCGCAGGTGCAATAGTTAAATACGAACTTATTTTAATTCAGTATGATAAATAAGTAATGTTTTATAGTGGCTTTGATTTATAAAGGATTGATGTCTTAAATTTCTATCTATAATAATAACATTAAAATTGTCTTTTTTTATTGATGGACACGTGTCTTACTCGCACCAACACTATGGAGATAGCAGATTCTATTCCCGAGTGTAGTTAAGACGCTGAGATGAGTACTATTTAGTTTAACTGCTAAGCCGTGACAACCAACAGTATTACTAATGTTAGGAGTAGGTATATACGAGTATGTATGTAAAACCTTATAGGTACCGGGTACATTAAAAGTTATTCCATGATTACAGAAGATAAATGAAAATTCTCTTAAAATACAATGTAGGCTACATAAATTTTACATAGCTACGAGTATCATGAGCTTGATATGAAATAATAAAAAAAAAACTTTTTTGAACTACTTTGTATTTAAGATTTAATAATATAAAAAATGAAATATAACACTCATAGTGTACAAGAAAAATAAAAAAAACTTTTATTTTTTTATTTCTTTAGATTACATTTTCAACATAAATCGCTGAAGAAGGAACCCCTTTTACGCAAATCAAACACAAACTGACAGATATTTACTTTTTTTTATTTTGGAAACGCACAGTATCTTTTAACATAGTAGGTATATAACTAAAATAAAATATAACACAAACAAGTTTCTACTAATTTAAACAACAAAGTTATAAAAGAAAATTTACATTAAAGAAAAAAAAGCAGAAAGTATATAAATTATAAACATCAAAGTGTAAAAAAACATTAAAGGCTTACAATTTCTCTTTCGAGTTTTTCAAGTTTACGTATTATTTTTTTATAGACTCTGCATTTTTGTTAAGAAATATTTACTTGATGGTTAGCACTAAAAATACGTCGTTGTTATTACACCACCAACAATAACTAAATATGTTCAAAATAATTTTATGTTTTGTGGCTTGTAATACTCGTAAGTATAATGAAAAATTCATTAATATTGATTTGCATACTTTCTCGATTACATAATTTTAACTTGTAATTATAAATTCATTTAGGTCAAAAAAAAATATTTTTTGTAAACTTCTTTGTTGCTGCTTTATTCTTCTTTTCTGATTAACTCGTAGAGCTCGTTAACATTAGCTATACTAATATAATAATTAATATTATAAAGAGGTAAAGTTTGTGAGATTGTGAGTTTGTGACGTGCTAGGGGGTAATCTCTGGATCTACTGAACCGATTTAGATGAAAGTTAAGAAGATAGTTTGAGACCCTGGGAAGGACAAAGGAGGAAGGCTCTGGGAAGACAAAGACAAAGGAGGAAGGCCCTGGGGAGGACAAACGAGGAAGGAGGAAGGACAGGATACTTTTTATCCCGGAAATTATCCCTTAAAGTAGTGAAAATGAGGATGAAAGTTTCTATGGGGAATCAACCTAGGGACGAACCCGAGCGAAGCGAGGGTGAGTCGCTAGTATGCACATATATTAGTGGAAACTTTATTGGTGCTGTCTTGTATGTATTTTCTGTGTTTTAAATACTGTTTGTTTTCCAAGAATAAATAAATATAATACCTTTTTACTAGAATCACAATTGACCAATTTTCATTGATTTCACTTTAACATAAAGAAAATACCGTAACTAACGCGTGCTTTATATTCAATAAGTTTAGTAAACTGCTAGATTACATTCTACATTGAGTTTCATGAGGATAGATCCATGTACAGATAAGGCGAAAAGTCAATTTTAGGTATTTACATACATACTAGCGATTAACGCTCGCTCCGTTACGTTTTAACGGTTAGTACAGATTTCTCAGAGATGATATATTTTCCCACAGTAAAAAGTATCCTATATGTTGACCCGGATAACCAGCTATCGTCATACTAAATTTCATGAAAATCTTTCCAGTGGTTTTCTCGTGACGCGTTTCCAGACAGACAGACATAAATTCTAAAACCTATAGTATCGATAATAATGACGATTTCGATAAGATTTTCCAAAAAATATGTAATGTACAGATTCAACTCAGATTTTTATTATATGTATAGATATAATATATTTTAGAAGTGTTCAAACAGGACATATTTCTCTAGTAACAAGAGGTTAGCAAACTGCTAGATTTCGCTTTTGCTTCAGCGAAACATTCATCTTGTGGAAAATGAGATTAATCCAAGTCAACAAATGTTTGTTTGAATCTTATGAAGATAAACGTTGGTGACAAAATCGACTTCATGTGCAATTTTTACCAAGTTCAGTAAAGCGCAGTTTCTTTTTTCTAGTGTTACGAGAAATCTTCTTTTTTTAACGAAATAGGCTAGGTTTTACATAATTTAAAAAAAACTGTATCGCAAAGAGCAAAAAAATTTTTTTTAAGAATACTTTGTACTTTGAATTTTGTTGTTTATATACTTCTTCTATATCTTATGTATACCGAAGCTAGATAAATGTATTAATTTATATAAAATCCATTAAAATAGAGCCAGAAATTGTATGATATAAATTATCAATGATATTATGTACATATATGTATTGTATAAATTCTTTAGTATTCCCTTTTTGACGTCCCAGTGCTGGACATGGGACTTCGTTCAATACGAGGGGGATCAGACCGTAGTTCATCACGCTGGCCAAGTGCGGGTTGGCGTACAATCATATTATAGTTTAATCCCTCCACGACCGCGGACACGCCGGCGGGTCAGTTAACAATAGATTTCTTAGAATTTTAATTAATTTCTTAGAAATTTACTTGGAGGTGTTAAGGTTAAATGAGGATATTAAGAAGACACTAAAAATTTAATCTGTTTCTTTTAACATATTCATCTTCCAAAAACATTGATTTTCGATGTTTGGTTGATCAAAATAAAACAAAAGTATGTTAAATAATTTTTTAAATACGTTTTGTCTGCGATTGTACGAGGATATTCAAATTAGTAATAAAATATAAAAGGGTAAAGCCTTTGGAAATTGATCTAGCCTTTTTAAAATTGAATGGAACACTGATACAGTATTTTTTTTCTATAGAACCTGCATACGTTACAATATATTATATGAAAATGTTAACAATTTTAACATTGTGATGTAGCAAACTACATTTTATAGCATACTAGCATTGCCAAACCAAATTCTTAGGTTTTACATAATATTAGTATACTCTTACATTGCAGTTTTTGTATATTTTTTTCAGAAATGAGACATTATCCCGCAGTAAAAAGAATTCTATATGTTGATCCGGATAACCAGCTATCACCATACCAAATTTCATCAAAATCCCTTCAGTGGTTTTTCTGTGATGCGGTAACAGACAGATAGACATACAGACAGACAAAAAATCTAAAAACTATAGAATCCGCCTCTGTATCGATAGTAATGTTTATTTCAATGAAATGAGCGTTCTGAAAATATCCTTTAAAAAAAAATATTGTAGTGATAACTCACAAACGGTGCATCTTATTAGTTAGGTATAAACAAATTGAATGAATTTCTTAGGTTCCAGTTATAATTAAACAAGTTTTTGCCCACGGATCTGCTCGCAAAGCTTTATCATATATAAATCATAGCATGATTACGTCTACGTTCAAATAAACAAGAAAAAATAACACTCTTCAGCCTTTATTTCTTTTAACTATGTTAGACCATAATATGAATATTGGTGGTTTTAGAATAAAACACATATTTTTGAAAATATTTTTATTCTACATACATTCAAATACCCAAAATATGATAGTATTAATTGAACTTCTTTCAAATATCGATTGGATAGGTACTAATGCTATACAAAGATATTTACATTTTTATTGCACTTTCAAGATACAAATACTGTTGTAGAGAACTAGATTATCTAATTATCTATAAAATTATTAAGAAATTTACTAATATACTAGTACATTAATAATATAAATAATAAATTATGTTGGTCTGTCTATAAATAATACAAATTGCTTAGCAGTTAGTGTTTGTATATAGCTTTTCAAGCTAAATTTATTATTAAAATAAAACATATAAGTTGTGAAAGTATTGAAGGTATTGGCACAGTATTTGGCACCCGAAAACCTTTCTGCTCTCGAATTTATGAAACATAAATAAGTTATGTTTCATTTCTCAATGCCGTATAAAATAATCCCTACTTAATAAACACATTTATAATGTTGCATTTTATCAAATACTTTTTTATCGTAATATATATATATTACTAAGAACAAATAAATATAAACATCATATAATGCCATAAACAATTTCAATGTTAGTAACTGCATTAGTTATACAACTGAGTCGCAGTTATTTATATAAGTTCTTATATTATATAAGCACTTCCTATAAAATTTCTTAGAAATATCTAGGAAAAATGAAATGAATTCGTTTTTTAGGGAAATGAAATAGAAACACTTTTTCTTATGACAGAGACAAGATAAAGTTCACGACAAAATATTTAATTTTAATGTAGCTTTCACGGAAAGTAAACTGACATATTTCAAAATGTCTGATACATAATATAAAGTAATTTAAATTACAATATATAGTATGCTTAATTACATAGTCTAATCTATAAGAGAATAGTTGAAGAGCTAGTAACTTATTTAAGATATTTCGTATTATATATCTCATATTATGTACATATATAAAAATATAGAGTTAAGAATAAAGCAAAATATATAGTTTTCCAATCCATTATGTGAAAGAGATAACGAGGAATAATTTTAGACGAGTTTCTACAATTCTACCAATAGAAATCTTGAAGTCATTTATACCATATTTAAGTCAAGTATTCGCCAAAAGGTCGAAGTTTGACCAGAATCATTACTGAAAATTTGCGAAAAACATATATGAATAAATTTTTTCTATATCCAAAAAAAAATCCTATTTTTTTATTGATAACACTAACGCTCGTCAATAGCTACTAAACAAAAAAAAAGAAAATCGGTTGATAAACAATATCTATTTATATATAGATTTCAATTCAACGATCGTGGAGTGTAATCTTGTCTAAGCCTATAGATAAGGAAGTTATGTATGTATGAGGAGAACAGCTGTCTTACCGTCATCTAGTTTTAAAAAGCAATTTTTTATCGGCAATTTTAATAATCAAATAAGTATTATTTAACATTATTGCCTGGATATTTTATCTTGGTTTTTTGTTTTTTGTATTTCATTGTTAAAAATTGTAATATTGATATTTATGTTATCAAAATAAAGTTTCCTATTATGATATACAGAGGTGAATATAGAATAGCAAATTAAAAAACCGAACATAGTAATACAATTAATACATACGTGTTAGGATATTTAGGAAATAAAAAAAGAAAACAAAAAACATTAAAAAAATAACTTAGAACTTATAAAATAAAATAGAAGAATAACTTTATAAAGAATAATTTTAATGTAATATTTTCAAGATATTATAATAAACAAATTTAAGCTCTTAATAAAATTTTACATTTTTAATATTCATTAAAAAATTGGAAAGTTTTTTTTTTTGGAAATATGTATTTTATTCTTTTAAATAGGTCACTAGCTCTTGGTCTATACAATATTTCAAAAACTTAGATATGAAGATTTAATCTCCGCTTTACAATTAACATTCTAATAGTTCACAATAAAAATACAAACAACCCACAGTATGCTGTGGGTTGTTTGTATTGTCATTGTCGTATTTAATCTAAAAATCCCATATATTATCTATATTTAATAATTCGTTTAAATACATTATTTATATTTTAATAATAATAGGTATGTACAATACTTTCAAAATAATTCTAATTCCATTTATTAATATAATTTAAAAAATTCTATTTGATTATGATTTAATAATTCTTTAACATAGATTTTTAAAGAAATAACTACATATTATATAGGTATTATTAAAGTAAACGTACAGACAAAATTATTTTTTTGCTAATTATTGTTTAGAAAAATATATAACAGTACTAAAGACTATGTTACATACATTAAATATATGTTACACTAGCTTTGCCCACGGCTCTGCCCGCGTTTAGATGATCAAAAACCAAATTCTTAGGTTTTACATAATATTAGTATAGTCTTACATTGCAGTTTTTGTATTTTTTCTCAGAAATGAGATATTTTCTCGCGGTAAAAAGTATCCTATATGTTGACCCGGATAACCAGCTATCATCATACCAAATTTCATCAAAATCCCTCCAGTGGATTTTCTGTGATGCGGTAACAGACAGACAGATAGACAAAAATTCTAAAAACTGAATTCGGCCTCTGTATCGATAACAATGTTGATTTCAATACGATTTTCCAAAAAATATTTAATGTACAGATTCGGCTTAGTTACAATTTTATTATATGTATAGATAATATCCAAAATATTGTAATGTAACGGAAAATCTGCTCTTAAAATAATTTAATATTGCGAATTTGAAACTACACTGAAAAATTAATATTTAATGAGGGACATACAATTTACATATTTTATAAAAAGACTTCAAAATTGATAAGAGTTTTAAATAAACATTGTACATTTAGTATTTCTAATTATGATATTCTTCGAAAATTTCATTAAAATTTATAATAGTTCGATATTGGACTTTTAAATCCAGCACTTATCGATACTAACAAAAATATTAAGTTACACAAAGTATCTGGAGATGAATCACAAAATTGAAAGAAGAATTTTAGTTTTGTGAATTAACAATTTCTATATATTATATCCATTTGTTCTCTGACTAGATAAGTAATAACACTATATCTTTTTATATATCTGCCTGAAAAATATTATCATCAAGCGGCTCTAATGAAGATGGGTTGAATTATTATAAGTTTGTTCATAATAGCAGAATAAAAACTAAGTATAAGTAAGAGTATCTCTCAATCCTAATATAAAATAAAGATTTTAAAATAGTTACACGTGTATTTGTTTACTAAATTAATGATCTAAGTATTACGATCTGATTGGTTAGATACATATCTTTATACAAAATGAAAAAGCCAGATAAATAAAAAGTATATAATTATTAATCATAGTACTGCCTATATTATAAAAATGTAAAAAGACGGTGATAGTTAAAAATTTATTACTAACAGGTTATTTTACGATTTAATCTTCAGATAATCCAATATTACACAAGAAAAAAAATGTCCTACAAAACAGATGGTTTGGCTCAAAAAGTCCCCCTCTCTGAACTTGTTAAAATAACATAAAATTTATTAATAACCGGCTGATTTTCATAGTATTTATTATTAAAAATATGCCCAATTGAATTATCAAATTGTCCTACAAATAAAATGGTAGGATTTCTTAGTACTACGCTCGGATTTTGTCATAGTAACATAAGACCTAGATTTTCTTAGTCTAGTATCTAACTTTAAAGTCACTTAACTGTGGTTCAATTAGAACTGTTTCGGTAGTCTCCTGAGTGGGTGTTGTTGTAGGCATGGCTGATGGCCGCAACGATATTGCTAGGGGTAGTGCTGATCGCGCACATAACTGTGATGCCCCACGAGTAGACCCGACCGATCTGTAGCGGGTGCAACGCCCTCTCCTGTAAAAAAATATATTTTTATATGACCTGTTTAAAGTTTATTACGTAATAGTCGATCGAAGCAGCCTTCTTCGGACTATTATCATGAATGCAAAAGATTGTGAATGTATTATACGAGTATATAGTTATATTTTTAACCAAGTTTTAATATGATGGGGCTGGCGCGATCGTGGAAGAAAACCTTTACCTTTTTCTAGTTCAGGAGTTAGGGTGTACATTTACCATTGTGCTACTTGAATAAAGTTTTTTTTAATAAAAAATAAATACAAAAATTAATAGCACTGGTACTACTGCGTTTTACACACCAAAGTTTTTACAGCACCAAAGGACTAAAGCTGGTGTTAGACTAATAAAAACCATATTTTCTTTATTTCCAATGCTATAATAACTTTCTTACACGACTGCGTCGAAGCCTAAAGTAGGGCTATGTATTAAACCGCACATGCATGCTATACAGCGAGACTCGCATCAAGGATAAAACATGTATGGAGAGTCTCCGACTACATAATACTATACGTTATTATTATAAAAAAAAAATGTTTAAAGATGCATCGACCACAAATCTATTTAAAAAAAAAATTTCCTTCCTTAGGTACGCCCCTAATTATTTCATAAAATAATCATCACATTACGTTTGAGGTACAATTTCATTAAGAAAGCAATCAAGAAAATGGGTTTACAATTTTCAAATTTGATTAGATGTCAAATTCTGCTTGCCATTGAATTTATTAAAAATAAATAAATAGAGAAAATCTTTTATTTAAAGCTACTTATACACGCTCAGTTTGATTTGAGTTTAAATCGACATAGTAAATGTAATATAATTGTTCTAGAACGTGTAGGATGAAACAAACTTTACCAGTGCCATTGTGTTAGCAGGTAATTTAAACTTCGGATATTATTACTAGCCGGCTTATTAAAATACTTTGTAGGTAATATATTACCGACAAAACATTTGCTTATATTAAAAGTTCGTCCAATTTTAGTGTCATGTTGGTCCTTGACCCTTACCTTTTCGTTTCAAAACTGAAGTTATCTGGAATTTCTATTTATATATTAGTTTAAGGGATGAAGCTACCTATATAATGATATGATTTTCAACTGCGTCTTTACCCGCATTTTTATAGATATATTTAAAAAGGAAACTCATTATTATTTCTAAAGTAAAAACCGACGTGAAGTCTAAGTTAGGAGAAATTTCTAAGACGGGCATTTCATTAATCAAAGTTAAATTTATCCCCTGCGTACACTACCTCGCATGGAAAATTTCATTGGCCATAAGGCCATGTTATAAAACACTTTTACACATAGGCAAACACACACATAATTTACATATTAACACACTTTTTTCAGCGGGATTCGAACCTGCAGGCTTTAGTGTACCAATATTGAATCGTGACAATCTATCGTCTCTCAGTCTAACTCAAAAGAGAAAAAAAGGCAGAAACAAAGACAAAATAAAATTATTGTTAATGAACGCAATTTTTGCTTCGATCAGAAATGTTTTATTCATGGATTATCATGAATTCATTAATTTAAATTCACCGACGAACCAAAATTATAGTAAAAAACAATCAGAGTATAGCCTTGGATAAGAAATCTATTAATTAATTTTTTAAAGTAATATTTTAGCTACAATAGAGTGAAAATCGCAATGGATATAACTAGATTATGAAAACATATAGGCTACTAGCACTGCCCGCGGCTCCGACCGTGTTCAGATGACCAAAAACCAAATTCTTAGGTTTTACATACGAGTATTAGTACACTCTTACAATGCAGTTTTATATTTTTTCTCAGAAATGAGATAATTTTTCCGCGGTAAAAAGTATCCTATATGTTGACCCGGATAACCAGCTATCATCATACCAAATTTCATTAAAATCTGTTCAGTGGTTTTCTCGTGATGCGGTAACAGACAGACAGACATACAGACAGACAGAAAAAAATTCTAAAAACTATAGATTCGGACTCTGCATCCAAAATAATGTCTATTTCAATTAGATTTTCCAAAAAATATTTAATGTACAGATTCGACTTAGTTACAATTATATTATATGTATAGATTGTTTACTAAAAAACTTAACAAGCCACGGGCAAAACGTAATATATGAAATTGCATATTGAAAATTTGCTTTTGAGCTATAAATTTTTATGCATTTTTATATATAGTGTCTTTGTAACGAGGAAAAAAATAGATATTTATATTTTGATTGCTTATAAAGAAGAAAAATAGAATAATGAGAGCTCTAAAATATTAAAACGTATAAACTAGTTCAAATATTAATAATGCAACACTAATTATTACGTACATATCACAATAACAAGATCTTAATTAAACCGTATATTCTTAACATATGATGTAATCTGCTTTGCAAACACGTCCTAGAGCTTAAGGGAAATGCCGCTTACTTTTACTGTGTTATTATTTGCTACCATGGAGTGAACAAAAAATTATTAAAATTTCAAGCAATCAAAAAAGTACCAAAGTTTTTTTAAAGTTATTTGTTACTTTAAAAAAGTTAGGGACTTTAGAAATATATGCCATATAAAATATAAATAATTTTACAAAGATTTAGTATATATAAGATTTATAGTATAAGATATATAGTATATAAGGCCGTGGCAGCCCAGTGGTAACGCGCTCGCTTAGGAAACCGAGTGAAACGAGTTCAAATCCCGGGTCTCACACCTCTGATATTTTCATGTGCGAATCATTTCCAATATGATTATCCTTGTCTTGCCATGTTTAACATATGGCTGTCAAACATGGTCATTAACAGAGAAACTAACTAACGAAATAATCGTATGTCAAAATGGAATAGAGAGAAGTGTAATAGGAGTAAAAAGGAAAGATAAAATAAGATTAAACAAAATTAAAAATATAACTAAATTTAAAGATGTAAATAAAGTATGCAAAACACTTAAATGGCAATGGGCAGGACATATGATAATATCAGAGTGGTATCCCAGGGATGGCAAAAGAAGTAAAAGTCGACAAATGAAACGCTGGGAAGATGACTTCAAAGGAGTTGCCGGTCCAGAATGGATCAGAATTGCAAGATACAGAGATAAATGGAAGTCTTTGGAGGAGGCCTTTGTCGAACGACAAGCTGTTGTGGAAAAAACCGATCGTCAGTAACAAATGTAATAACCATGTATTGTATTGTAACAATTGAAAACAGCAATAAAGGCTTTATTATTATTATCCTTGTCTTAACGGTGAAGGAAAATATCGTGAGGAAACCTGCATGTCTGAGAGAACCTAGCAAGTTTTCAAAAGACATGTGAAGTCCGCCAACCCGTACTTGGCCAGCGAGGCGGACTATGGCCTGATCCCCCTCGTACTGAAGGGAGGCCCGTACCCAGTGGGACGTTAAAAAGGGCTTAATACATACATAAAGACAATATAGTATAGCGATATTATTAACTTGTGTTTGTCTAGTGGTCGAAATTCGACTATAATCATTGTTGAAAATTAAAGGAAAAGATTATATGAATAGAATTTATATGCCCATCTATTTAAATAAAATTAGCAACAGTTTTAAATTTTTTGAAATGAAATTTCTTTAGAATCACTGTGATTTGAAACTCGATGAAACGGAAATGCAACATTAAAAAGAGACAAACACATAAATGGCGAAGGGTGAAATATATAGGAATCAGAATGAGATAGAATACATTGCCATGTTGCCATGGTAACCGTTGTTATAGTCTGACAAATATATAATACTAGCGACTCACCCTCGCTCCGCTCGAATTCGTCCCTGGGGTGGGGTCTGGGAGGACCACCCTTATCCTTATCACTTAGGGGTATGGAAAATAGATAGTAGCCGATTCTCAGACCTACTGAATACGCATATAAAATTTGGTAAAAATCGGTAAAGCCGTTTCGGATGATTACGGTAACTAACATGGTGACATGGAAATTTTATATATAAGATTATATTCTTTCCCGATTTGATATTCTATATATATATATGATTGTATGCCTCATTTATTTATTTGAAATAAAATACATTACACATGAAGTGAAAAATAATAAAATTAATTACTGAATAATATGTATGTTAAAATTTCGTAGCCTTAACGGTGGGGTTTTCTTAGAAAATGTAGCCTATTCAATAAAAACCATGATAATCAGTTAAGAACAAATTAAATAAAAAAAATCATGTCATGAAAATTAGTTAACATTTGGCAATATATCACGGAAAATATAATAAAAATGCAGTCATGACGACTGCCGACAGTTTCATGAAGTGTGATGAAGTGAAAACTTAAAATTATAAACAAACACTTGTTATTTTTGGATATTCAATTAATTGTTTGATCTTAAATTAAAATTTATAAATTAAAACTGTTTACATCTGTCTGGTTTTAACATCTATCAGCATTTTGAGTGTTAGCGTTAACTCGTCACGTGACCATGTCGATGACGACTTACACGAATTCCATCCAAACCTACCTATAGAAGTTTTCACTTCAAAAATTAAAACTACTCACTGTTTCAAAATAGGTCAAAAACAAAACAATATATATATATATATATATATATATATAAAGAAACATAAAAAGATAAACATACGCACATACAGATATATATATATACATACATTTGTAATAATAGTTTGATGCTTAGAATAGATATATATATTATTATCTTTTTTTATTCACAGCGCGTTCTAATTAAATTAAGTACCATTTATTTCACAAAGGGTTCATTTTATCTTTAGGAAATGTGTGAAATCCCAGTAGTATACTTAGAAGAGGACTGTCTAGTGAGCAACGTCTCAATCCTTTTAGAGTAATCTAGAAAATGAAATTGTTGCTAACATCAAACAATTTAATTAGTCTTTTAATAAAATAGAAAACAAACTTACATATTTGAATCTCATGAAGTACTTTAAATAAAACTAGCTTTTCGGGTTTTTTTCGCAGATTTTTTTTATTTTTGTTTTCCGACGTTTTCGCGAAAAAATCCGAAAATATAGTTTTATTCAAAACTAGCTGCTCACTCTCGCTTCGCTCGGATTTGCCTCTCGGAAAAGAAAAATAAACCTATACCACGAGAACCGTACATTTTTCCGTAATTTTAGTAGCTTATATGTTATTCCAGACTATAATCTATCTCTGTGCCAAATTTCATCCAAATCCGTTCAGCCGTTCTGGCGTGAAAGAGTAACAAACATCCATACTTACAAACTCACATTTATAATATTTATACAGATATACAGATGTCAAATATTCGCGTAAATCTAATAAAATATCTCATGAAGTAATTAATTGGGTAACACATTTATATAGAACAAAAGCTTTTTTCCTAAGTGACATTTCTCTAGCTGCCTTTAGCTCTAAAGACCAAAAAAAATTGATTCAAATTATTATTCAGTTGACTTAAATAATTCATTCGCGCCATGATTTGTAAACACCATGATTTGTAAATTAAATAAATAAATTAATAGTAAAAAAACCTTTTCATTTAATGGGTAAAATGATGAAAATAAAGTTATAAAAGCTTGTTTTAATTAGTTTATTTTATCGTGCAAATAATCGCGTAAACTGAATTGGATTATATTTAATTGTTTTGTTTCTCTCTACTCTACGAAAGTTTTTGCGGCTAGCCCGATTTGGATGAGGATACACTCAGTGGCGAAGGGTGAAATTTTAGCAGAGGTAAGCCGTTCCAAAAATATATAATTTTTATGTACGTATTCATATATATCTATACATATAATAAAATTCTAACTAAGTCGAATTAGTACATTAAATATATTTTGGAAAATCTTATTCAAATAGACATTATTATCGATACAGAGGCCGAATCTATACTTTTTAGAATTTTTGTCTGTCTTTCTGTCTGTGTTTTTCATAACAGAAAATCCACTGGAGGAATTTTGATGAAATTTGCTATGGTGATAGCTGGTTAGCCGGGTCCACATATAGGATACTTTTTACCGCGGAAAAATACATCATTTCTGAGAAAAAATACAAAAACTGCACTGTAAGAGTATACTAATATGTAAAACCTAAGAATTTGGATTTTGGTCATCTGAACGCGTGCGGAGCCGCGGGCAATATATATATATATATAGGTATAGCCAAAAGAACATTTATACATTTAAAAAATTAAATGTATGTAAAATTATAGCAAAATAATTTTAAGGTAAGACGTCTTGTATGGACCCTTCGCCACTTCGATACAGATATATGACCTGGATTAAAACTACTATATTAATAAAATTCGCCAAAAGGTGCACTATCTGTATCTGTGTGTAATAATTATAAATACATAAGGAACCCAAATACCAGAGTAAAGCGTGACGAAAGCGCTAGTATTAATCACAAGATTTAGAAGAATATAAAAGATATTATTTGAAAAAAATATATTAACCACCTCAGAAAATTAGTCGCGAGCAATCTTACGCGAATAATACTGTAAGAACTGAAACATCTTCCAACACATAATCGTACTATTTAAAAAAAAACGCATTTTCATTAAAGCTGTACCTCTTATCTTCCATATTAAAAAAAAAACTTCCTACAACTTTTGGTAATATTTGAAAACTTGAATTCGGGGCAGTTCTTTAATTAGGTATATTAAGCTCTTAAAAGCGCAAGTCGAGACAAATTAAACAATATATCTTCCAAGCGTTAAAATTAAAGGAAGCTATCGGGTAAAAACATACAATTAAGAATAGGTTTGTTTATTTGTTGTAACATTAGCATCCCTTTACATTTAATATGTTTTTGTTTATGGTATTCATAAATTGCAACTTGGCCACGCCAGCGACTAATGAACATTTTATTGCATTGCCTAGCATTTAACATTTAATGTCTTTTCCGCTTATTTGTTAACAGTTTTTGGGACATTTTATTATATAAAAATTATTTATAAAGCAAGTAGTCAAATGACCCCTCGCCGTCTTTCTTGGAATGTTGATTTTTCCGTCTTTCTATTGTTAATGAATATTCTTTTGACCTTATTCGCGTTTCAAAGTTGATGTCAAGATTAAGTGGTGCAACTAACATTCAACAACTAGTTCTCTTTTCAATCTTCAAATTAAAATTTCAATTTTAGGATATTTGAAGCGGATTTCGAAATTATATGTAAAAAATCATATTTAAATGTATTTAATTTATTGTAATTAAAATATGTAACGGAAAATACTATAATATTAAATTATTTAAAATAATTTATAAAATTGCAATTTTTTTATTACCAAATGTTTTTGGGTTCAAACGATTATTTATTATGTATCATACACGTAAATTCGTAAACAAATACCTGACCAAAAAAATATATCTTAGACTGCAAAATAACTTGAGTAAGGCGCCAGAAGCTTAATACTGACCTGCTACAATGACATGTTAATAGTCTTAGAAATGCTGCTCTGAAGGTTCTATTGAATACGGTGTAGATAATCGGATTGATGGTTGAAGACACGTATCCCAACCACAGGCAAATATCCACCACGTGCTCTGAAACAAAAGGTATATATTTTATTTCAATTATAATAAAAAATATTGGTTGCTGTTTGTAGAGTATATGTTTGTTCCTTTGCCATTTTGTAGCATTTGACACATAAATCTCGACACTATGTTAAATTGCCGATTAAATATGTACATATTGCACTATGCTAAATGGGACATTTACAAATAACAAAATTAATAAAAAGGAAGTTATATCCTTTAATATAAATATTGCAAAATATAATGTTTAGTTTGTATATTTGTATGTTGCTATAACTACTTATTATAAAACAAAGTCCTCCGCCGCGTCTGTCTGTCTGTTCGCGATGAACTCAAAAACTACTGCACCGATTTTCATTCTGTTTTAAACAATAGATAATGTGGTTCTCGAGGAAGGTGTAGTATATAATTTGTTAGTTTTTGTATATATTGACTAAAATATAACGATATTTGTTGGAGGTGTCGGAAAAAATAAGTCGTCTGGGAGCTTTCAACGAAAACGCTGCCTACCCTACATTTTAATATATAACAAAATAATGTATGGTGGAATTGTGTATCTTATATAGGTCTACAGAAATGTCCGCGATGGCATATTTTTATCTCTTAAGGATAACATACTATATACATTTTAATTAATTTAAAACGTACCTAGGCATGAACCCGAGCGAAGCAAAGGTGATTCGCTAGTATTATAATAATGACTCGTTCGTCCAGTGCTCCTGATCTTTTACCGGATAATGAAGAACTGTCGTCCCAAAGAATGTGTGAGTGAAAGGAATTGAGAATCAAAAAACTATATATGTATATCTAATAAGTGTTACATATTTATTACCAATTAGGTAAATTCGTACGAGTATTACTAAGTTGTCCAAGCGTTGAAAGTGAAGTTAAAACTTAATAGGCAACATCTTCCTTAACTGGTTGATCATTCAACTAACGAGCCTGGACTAGAGCCAACGCAATTGAAGCAGAATAAAAACACGATTTGTATTTGCTTTGTTTGAATAAAAAAATAAATAAGTTAACATTCATTTTCCTATTTAAATCAAGATATAGTAAATCAAGGAAATCTCCTGTGCAATGTTTTTAATGAAAGATGTTCCATGTATATGCAAATAAACAGACCGACAAAAAATCTAAATACTTATTACTCTTGACTGATTTTCTGATATAAAGATTAACAATAAAAATATATCATCTAAATTTAATTTACTTTGATCACACTGCGATTATTTTTTGTAGAGAGCTAATAATTTTTGCTTAAGACATTGTATATCTGAAATATCTAAATAAACAGCCGTAAAGCAAACTAAAATTACTCATAATAAAGACAATCATCAAGATATCCGTGTCTTCAGTCTGGCTTTGTGGGAAACGAATGAATCTCAACTTCAAAGTCTGCAAAGATTTCGGTTGGAAGCCATTAAAACTTGTAATACAACAGTTAAATTAACATTTTGGACGGAGCGCTGAGCGATTCCATTCAAACATAATTAAGCAACTTTCGTTCGCTTTCTGAAACATTAATGCAATATTCTTCTATCATTATCATGTTTTATTTTCTATTTTATTTCCGTATAGTCCCTTTAGATATTTCTATGATCCTAATCCTATAAAAATTAAAATGGAAGCAAAAAAATAAATGACATACTCGTATGTATGTATATCCGATCCTATGTTCCCCCGTAATTACTGAACGCCTTAGCCGATTTCGTTGATAAATAAGTCGTTAAATACGTTTTGATAACGCGAGTGTCATAGGTGTGTAATATAATTTATATTTTTGTTCCCGATACTTCGAATGCTTTACAACAAACATAGTCACGGGAGAAACTCTCCCGTTCATCACTCTCATTTAAAATGTCAAATATTTGCATAAATCTAAGAAAATATTAGCTATTAACCCGCTAGGTTACAACATACCAACGAAATAAACATAACACTCTAAAAACATCACCCTTATTTTTATGAAGTCGGGTGAAACCCCTATAATTTCATATAACTTTTAAATTTTCGCATTCCATAATTGTATGATAATGAAACTACGGAACTTAAACACGTGAATTAGTAAGCGGCTATACCTTATTCCCGACGTTTAGAGTGAGTTACACCTGCCGTGGTCATGTCGTGGTGACTTGCGAATTCACGCTTTTAAGCCAAGTAGTGTCAATATTACACTTATAATTCCATTCAAATATTATACTTTACCTGGAACTATACAAGCTGGGCATGATGCAAATAATATGTTAAGAAGAAAGAACGGCGCCCAGCACAGCACAAACGTAAAGAACACGAGGCCTAGAACTTTTGTCGCCTTTTGTTCGTTGGCTACAGCGTTGGCTGACATCGACCGGTCCTTTTTGCGGTTTGCCAGGAATCTGAAACAAAGGATTCACGTAAATGTTGAGAAAATATTCGAAAGGTTTACAAAATAACATCTTTTATGAGGTTACGATTATAACTTCCGAAGTGTCACAGAATTTGCGGATGAGACTACAGCTGCCGTCGTGTATAGCTATTGTTACGGGTTCTATTTTGAAACAAGTTTATATTCTCATTCAACATTATTCATGTCATTTGCATCGTTTCGACCCTCGCCAAAAAAAGTAAAAAAAAATACCTTCTATCCCTCGGGAATGCTTTCTCTGTCCATGATAAAAACAGTCTTTGTCACTTTTGAGCCGCCGTTTTAGAGATATGCGGGTATATACGGACCAATTCTAACCAATTTTTGGGCTATGGTATTGTGCAAACATTCGTTTTGTGATCTTAACATCAATATCATTGAAAAATCTTTCTATTTTATTATCTATACATATAATAAAATTGTAACTATGCCGAATTTGTAAATGAAATATTTTTTGGAAAATCTTGTTGAAATAGACATTACTATCGATACAGAGGCCGAATCTATAGTTTTTAGAATTTTTGTCTGTCTGTCTGTCTGTTACCGCATCACGAGAAAACCACTGGAGAGATTTTTATGAAATTTTGTATGGCGATACTAATACTTTTTACCACGGGAAAATATCTCATTTCTGAGAAAAAATACAAAAACTGCAATGTAAGAGTATTCTAATATATAAAACCTAAGAATTTGGTTTTAGATCATCTAAACGTGGGCGGAGCCGCGGGCAATGCTAGTTCATAATATAAGTAAAGATTAAAACATTTTTATGAAGCTGGATGCACGTATGCTATAACTGAGACATGTCTTGTGTACAAAGCTAATACATACATATATACAATATACGTTGTATATGTATGTGGCAAATGATATTAACGTGTACAAATATCTACACAGTGTACTTCCCCCCAAATATCATAGTTCAATTAAATTATAATCCTGCCATATCATACTGTACACAAGGGAGTTCCCCAAACTTACAATTTTCTGGCCAAATATACTCTTGTTAGAAAAATTAATTCTCTATCTGGCTTAAACTGGAACTGGAACACTAGTACCTACATAACCTATATTATATTGACGATGATTGTATTTACCTCGTAGCTATTTCGGAAACTTAACTTTCAGAAACTTGAATTTCGGACTTAGGACTTGGGTTTAATATCATTAGTGAAAGTTTCTTAAGTTTATATATATTATATACAGACTAAATAGTGGTTTTATTGGTCGAACTCAGTTTTTTTGGATAGTATTGAATCTGCTTCCCGTCAATAGGTAATAAGCCTGGATAAACAAAGTTTTTTATATCAATCTAACAAACCTGTGTCTCATTTTACTAAATTCTCTCATATTATTTGCATGAAAGCTTTTAGAATATAAATTATGTCAATCAGAGTTATTCAGTTCTAAAGAACTAAAAAAAATTGTATTTTTTATAATAATAACAGCAAAAATGAAATAAATAATATTGCTATATTTAATTATAATATCTATTAAATAAAATTTTAAATGTTTAGAAATAATAATCAACAAATATTGTAAGGTACTTTATTGCCATTGTTTGAATGTTTGAAATCATTTTTGTAAAATAGTGGGTAGGAACTGTCTGTAACAAGTATGTGTTTGAGACGTCTATAACCGTAGTCTCTCCCGTGACCATGATTGCTGTAAAGCATTCGAAACGTCGGGAACCAAAAATCTAAATAAATCCGCGAAACAATCCGAAAAGATAGTTTTATTTAAAATGTCAAATATTCGCGTAAATGTAAGAAAGTATTATATTGATTAAAAAGCTTTATTTAGAAAACTATCTTTTCAGATTATTTCGCGGATTTACTTTCGAATGCACCATCATCATGCAACAGCAATCATGTTCACGGGAGAGTCTAAGGTTTAAGACGTCTCAAAAACGTTATATATTTGTTACAGACAGTGCCTACCCACAATTTTTCAAAAATGGCACCAAAGTACCTACCTTAAAATATTTTTTAATTTTAGTTATAAAGTTTTAAATTACATCCACTATCGTTCACATCTCACGGATAGGCAATATTTGTTTCGCACACATGAATTCCTTGTAGGTCGTAGTCGACCCCTAAGGGTCGATATAGACCACTTCAATATCAGGGCTCAAAACTAATTTCTAAACGGTAACTCTTAATTTTCGTAGCGATTAATCTAATTAATAAAAACCTTAAATTTATTCATTTAGTCACTAATTGACAGAAAAGTTAAAGCCGTTGGGTGTAGAAGCATGAAAATTTGTAGAATAATTTATTTGTATTGAAGATTTTAGAAAATTCGAAGCCTTTTTGATAATTGAATTAAATTTCAAAGAGTGCCTTGATAATATTTTAAAGTAAACAATAACAGCAATTTACATTAAAAAAACCTAAGTCAAAACCTAAGCTTCGTTGAATAAAACTATTACATATTTTAAGTTATGAACTACAATTTAATAACTTGAGTTATGTAACAGTTTTCCACATGGCTATTTCCAAGAATAACACGTATATATAAACGGATATAAACATTTAAATTTAACAGCGTGTATATGAGACAATTTTAGTTGATGAAATGCTACGACCCAAGTTTTAACGGTCCAAAAATTTAATTACATTAAAATTTGACTACATTTCGAATCTAGTTGATACTTGTTTTGCTGTTAAAAATGTGAAGTTGGGAAAGTATGTTTATTGGTAACAATAGAACAACAGTCCTTTTTTATATATTTACTAGCGACTCACCCTCGCTCCGCTTGGGTTCGCTCTTAGTTAAATTTTAACGTTTAGTATGGATTTCTCAGAGATGAGATATTTTCCTGCAGTAAAAAGTACCTTATATGTTGAACCTGGTAACCAGCTTTCATCATACTAAATTTCATAAAATTTAATGTACAGATTCAGCTCAGAATTTTTTGTTGTGGTCTGCTTCGGCAGATCTGCCGTCGGGGCGTCGTAGTTGAATGCGTAAGCGATCCTGCGACGCCCCATTAAGACGGGGGAAGGTTTTGTTAGGTTTTAGTGGGTAGTACTGGCTTTGCCGGTGAGTCCCACACCTCGTGCGTAAATGCATTTCCCAACGTTAAAAAAAAAGGTACTCATAATAAGTTATAATATTAGTTAATCAAATTAATCATTCATTTACTTCAAAAACAATAACACAGTACAATTAAAATACTTCTATCCTTTAAAATAGCTCATGTCTGTGTTTGTTTTAAATACAAACTATTTTTATGCCTATGATTCAAATTATTTACGAGTAATAAAATTGATAGATAGACTTTTGCTTTTCTATAATAATATTATAAAGAGGAAAGATTTTTTGTTTGTTTGTTTTTTTGTTTGTACCGAATAAGCTCCGAAACTACAGAACTGATTTAGATGAAATTTGGTAAGAAGATAGTTTGAGACCTTGGTAATGACATAGGATAGTTTTATTCCGGAAATCATCCCTTAAAGGGGTGAAAATGGGGATGAAAATGTGTAGGGGAAGCAACCTAGGGATGAACCCGAAAGAAGCGTGGGTGAGTCACTAGTCTAATATAAATCTGAATGAAGATAGTATATTAATTATATATAATAATGCCATAAAATATAGTTTTTAAACCGAAGACCATTTATTATTTTTAATAACTTAATGGTTACTTTAAATCACAAACTCGATTACATAAAACAAAATTTTACTAGACTGGGGCTTTACCCTTTTCAAACCGATTTATTAAGCAGACCTGCTAAATGGAAGCAACTAAAATTATTTTGTTTGAAATACATTATTTTCATAATAAATTGTTAAACTAACGATCTACTCCAGCTTTGAAGACTGAGCGTGTTTAAATTGACACTTCCATGACATATTTTACTTTGTGTTCAACAAAAGGCTTTAAACATGTAAATTTTCAAAGAAAGAATAATAATATATTTCATGTTTCTATATATCAAATACGAATTTTAAAACCCTGAGAAAGGATTGTATGGAAAAATGGTTAAACCCCCTCCCTAAGGATTCAGGCTACCACGATTTATTTCGCTTTTATTACCACCAAAAGTAATAAATTAGATCATAATTTAAAACTTCTTGTTAAGCAATTATTTAAAATGATATCGCTTATTTCATAAGGGACTGACCTCCTAATGTTTTAAATGTTGAGAGACCACGTAAAGTTACAAAGAGAATTAATGGGGAATATGCGTGATTTTTTTTATTTTTTTTTATACAACAGCTAACATCGTTATATAATTGTAAAAAAAATATCCAGCTCCAAAAAACTAAAATTTAGTTTTTTTTTAATTATCATACTGATACGGATACTTTAAACGCCAGCTATTTCGCGCGCTCGGTGTGACGTCACAGTATGATATACACAGAAAAATAACGATTCAATTGTAGCGTAGCAGTATCAACTGTAGCGAAAAAATCTCTAATCGCTCTGTTATAATACTTTGACGTCATATTCGGTCTGACCAATGGTGTGCGTTTCAACTACTTTGAATTTCACATCCATATTGTGCACTTTTTAATATTTATTTTCTTGATCAAAAAGAAATGACATTAAAAAATATTAAAATAGACTTAATTCTACATCAACAGAGATTATAAAAAAAAAATCACCTTTATTTAATTTAATGATGAAACACCGCCTAATTCCCAACTGGCTATCACTAAGAGTTTCTTTATAGAATAACTAGCAGAACCCGCAGCTTCGCTCGCGCTAAAAGTACAAAAACAAATCTAAAAGGGTAGGTTTCATACAAACTTTCATACCCTATTTTACTTTCTTATAGGATAAATTTCGAGAAATGCTGAAATACACATTTATTTAATTGTATTGAAGAGCATTAATACCAAGTTTCAAGTAATTCTGTTGTTCATAAGTATTTTTTGAGTTGTATTATAACGTGTTTTCCCGCGGGAAAGAGAAAATCTCCCGCGGTTAAAAGTAGCCTATGTCACTCTCCAGCTTTCCAACTA